CTCGCCTCCCTGCTGGACCACCTGCGGGATGCCGAGGCCGCCGGCGCCGGGCCGGTGTCCTGCAGCGAGGTTGAGCCCGAGGACTGGAACCTGTGCACCGTGGTGGGGGTGCTGCTGGGGTACCCCGCGGTGTACACCTTCTCCGGGGAGGAGGGCGCCCAGAACTGCCTGGCACTGACACCACTGAGGGTGTTCACGGTCCAGGCCTCCTGCCCCAGGATAAAGGACGGTCTCAGGGTCCAGATTTACTCCTTCAGCATCCCGGAGAGCCTCCACACGGAGCTGGGAGAGGTGCTGGATGCCTGGCGTGATGAGCTGAAGGAGGCATTCAGTGCACAGAGTGACTTTGTGGATCTCTGCATTTCCAGCGAGGTCGTGTCTCTTCCAGCAGTTGCCTTGTAAAACATGAGCAAACTTGGACTTTTTGGCCTTTTTTACATCGAGGACCAAGGCAAAAGATCCAGTTCCCCTGTGTGTGACCCACTGCATCTCTTGGCCTCTGAGCACCAAAGGCTGAATTGTGACAGTCTCATGCTCCTGACCTCACGGGCCAGTGGCACAACAAATGCGTGTGCTTTAAAGAAGACAAACATGTGGATGTGTGTGCTCACAGCTGCTCTGCAGCCTCGGTCCTGCCTGCAGATTGTGCCCTGTAAGGGTGTATTTATTTGCTGTGAGCAGCTGAGGGTGAATAAAAACTTTGAACACCACGGTACTTTGAATTTGTGAAGTTTGTTGGGGGCTCCGTGTTGTATTTACTGCTCATACGAGGTGGTGTCTTGCACTGGGTCGTAGCTGAGCCTCTGCATGAATGAGGGGCAAGTTCTGTAAAACCTGCACAGTGCAGCTCAAAAGGGGCTTAAAACCTCTGCCTCTCTCAGATTAATGTGGTGCTGGCAGTGAAAGGGAAGCAGGTGTGGCTGAGGGAATGCTTGGCCACAAGACAGGCTAGAAAAGCAGGATAGAACAAGGCCTGGTAGATGGGAGGTGGAAAAATTGCTCAGAACAGGCACGAGGGGAAAACAAGGGGACTGTGCTAAAGAGCCTCCCTGAGCCAGGTTTCTTTGTCAGGTACAAGTAGAGATGGTGCAGGTCAAAAACGTCCCATAGAGGGAGGCAGTAAATAAAGGAAGGGAATTTGGGGGGCAAAAAACCCAGGGAGGCTGGATCCCAAGGATCCCAAGGGATGCCCTGTCCCTCCCTCCCTGTGTGAGACCTGTCAGTGATGACCAAAGTGGCTTTGTCCTTCAATGCCACGGGGGACAGGGCAGTGCAACCTTCCACTGGAACAGAGTAACCAAAGCAGCTGAGGGAAGGGGTGATATTCCAGCATTTATTGGGAGTTTGTCTGGAGTGAGACCAGCTCAGGATGTGAACCAAACACGCGGGTACAAAACAGCAGAGGGTGCACTGCGGCGAGGTCACGGACTTTTGGGGAAGCACAGTCAGTTCCTGCAGTGAAGTCAGTCATCAGGGAGGTCCTTCATGGCCTGTAACTTGCCAGGAAGGTGGCAATGGCCACTGCTGTGAGTGCCACCAGGAGGGGGATCCAGTGACCTCGCTGCCTCTGGGAGGAGAAGCAATTGTTAGTGGGAATTTCACAGAGTTGGAAGGGACCACAGGGATCGTCAAGTCCAACTCCTGGCCCTGCACAGGACCATCCCCAAGAGTCACACCATGAGCCCGAGAGTATCATCCAAATGCTCCTTGAGCTCTGTCAGGCTTGGAGCTGTGCCCACTTCCCTGGGGAGCTTGTTCAGTGCCCAACCACCCTCTGGGGGAAGAACCTTTTTCTAATACCCAACCTACCCCTTCCCTGACACAACTCCAGGTCGTTCCCTCAGGTCCCCTTGCTGGGGAAGAAACTCCTCATCTCATCCCTAGCAGACATGTCACTGATCTTTCCACACTGGGGGGTTTTCCCAGGCCGATGTGCAGCACTGGGGTTTGGGGCTGGGACTCCCACCTTGGCCCGCTGGCTGTGGGAGCGGTTGAGCTCGTCGCGGCACTGGCGCAGCCTGCTCAGGCACGAGCGGTACTCCTCGCTCAGGGCCTCCAGCT